TTCCCTTCTGTCCCTTCTTCCTGTATTTCCTCGTCACATGACCCCTCCCACTCTTTACCTCCAACCTCCTCCTCCGACTCCACCCTTCCGAGCCGCCCTCCCTCCCTCCCTCCCCCCCCTTCACATCCCCGGCTCGCCCGTCACCTTCTCCTGAATCATAGACTGAGCCGCCTGCGTCTGGGCCACGCTCCCGGTGATCCGAATCACCCGCAGTGCCTGCTCTCCCGTCCGAGTGTTCTCGATGTCGACACGGCACCCCGACTCTGCCCGAATCTGGTTCACCACGCTTCCCCCTTGCCCGATAACGCGGCCAATCTTCTCGTTGGGGACGCGCATGATCACTTCGCAGGAATCGTCGAAAGCCTCCTCCCCCCCGCCTTCCCCCCCTCCCTCCGCCCCCAGCCCACCCAAAGAGGCGCTGTAGGCGTCCGTGTGGCGGTAGCCCGCGTCGCCCCCGCTGAAGAAGGAGGTGGAAGCCGTAGGCACGGCCACCGAGGCCTGCTGGACTGACGGCTGTTGCTGATGGCCCGAGGGAGAGTTGGAGGATGCGGAGGCATAGGCATTGGCCAGGAGGGAGCAGATCATTTTGTGGGCGAGCCGACAGGCCTCCGCCTCCCCGATCAGGAGGATCACCCGCTCCATGCTCAGAGCGCCTTCCTCGGCGCTCTCCTCGTCCGACAGGACCTGGATGCGAGCTTGGCTCTGGGTCCGGATCTCGTTGATGGTCGCGCCTTTCTTCCCGATCACCTGGCCGGCGTGACTGCTGTCGATGACCAAGCGGAGGCCCGGGGGGGGGTAGTCCTCCCCGTCTTCCCCGCCCTGCTGGCTCTCGAACAGCCCGGCCTGGCGAGAAATCAACTCCACCGCCGAGCACACCTCTTGAACGCTCCCAGACACGGTCACCAGGCGGAAGGCGGGGTCTCTGTCGTCCTCTGCCGCGGGCGATATGTGGATGCGGGTGCCGGTCAGCTCACGGATCCCCTTGATCACGTCCCCGCCCCGCCCAATCACGCCCCCGATGCGCGAGGCGGGAAGGAGGAGACAGGTAGTGGTTTCCAAGCCGGAGGAGAGGGACAAGTTCGCCAGGGAGGCACTCAGGCGTCGACCGCTGCCGCTGTGTCGGCCTCCGCTGCGACGACGGTTCCCCGAGTTGCCCCCGCCGGTACTGGTCATATGCCCGCCGCTATTTCCACCGACCTTCTCCTCCGAGTGGTCAATGCCCAGGTCATCACGGTCGTTCATCCTGCAGGAGGCAGGCGCAGGCCAAGGGGGGAAAGGGGAGGGTGGATGGGAGGGAGGGAGGGTGAGAGGAGCACACTAGGCGAACGCCCGGGTTCGCCGGGCAGGGCGTAGAAGGTAGGACGGCCACCAGGAATCCCTTTTCTCTTTGCTTTCTGCATTGATATGTATTTATCAATTTCCACGCCAAGGCGGGAGAACAAAAGATGGACGCGGGCAGGGGCGCATCGCGAGGGAAGCAACCTTGACGGCGGAGACCGGATCCCGCCTTTAGCGTTCTCAAAGAACGATGTTCCACTCCTCATGAGCACTTACCCGACAGGAGAATTGTTGTCGTCCTCCCCTTGGTGCTGATACTGGTGTTGGTGATGGTAGTGCGCGTCGTCTAACGGGGAAGTCGGGCCGCCTACGGTGGGATTAAGCATTCCTGTCTGGTGATGATTCGCTGTAGGAGACTTTGCTTCTGACGATGCTCTCCGCTCGTGTTGCTCTATAAAAACACCACGACGAGTCTCGAAAAGTGCGGATGTCCGATATTGATGTTTCTTCACGTTGGGTGAGGACGGCCTAGGAATGCGAATATGGAGTGGCCGCAGGGTAGGGGAAGGCGAGGCAACGAGGAGAGGGAGGGGAGGTGGAGCGAGGCCAAAGAGATAAGCCGCTTGGAAACTCAGGGAGATGCCTGTGAGGCAGGTGCGAAGGAAGATATCAGCATTACAGAAAGAAATTACCATGCACACACGCCATCCGTCCAATGCGAGCATGCGTGTGCCTGCCCGCCTTTGGGTGGGGAGCAAAGAAAAGCCTGCTTTCCCCCCACCGCGCATGACGATCTGCGCCCTCAGGCTACTCGTCGGCATGACCCAAGTCTCACGCCAAGGGCATACGCACACGGTCAAGAACCCTGCACATGCAATGACATCCTTTTGCTCTGTACGTGGTTGCAGACGCGGGAACTTGCCCTGGAGAGTATGGTCGGCAAAGCTAGGGGTGGTGGTGTGTGGCTTTCCCCTCGCTTGTCTCATTCCTCACCTGCCTGTATCCTGACTGGGAGGCTCGGATCGGACGCAATTTACCATGCTGGGTTGAAAAAGGAAGGAAAGAGTAAAGAGCAGAAGCAAATTCGATGACCTCTCATCCAATTTTCGCGTACTTTCTTACAAGTTTGGATGTCAGAGGGCCCGTGGATCGTCTCGATGTCGCACGAAATCGCCCTTGTAGGGACCTAAATAATGTGCAGCACTTTCCTAGTGAAAGCCGCTTCATCTTCTCGTACCATCCAGCTCATAGACTCCGTCATCGCTCCAGAAAATAGCGTATGCACAAGAATACTAAGGAGGGCTTTCTGTTACGCGATTGAGAAAGGGACTTAACCCTTCCTCCCGTGCGTGCGAAATGGGCCATGTCGGCCCTCCTCTCCCTGCCCAAGGACGCATATATCAACACATCCGAGCACTCGGACAGAGAGGGACAAGCCACACAGCCATTAACATATTTGATGCCCTCCTGTCGCTTCTTTTCTACATCTCTACTCCACTTTCAGTTGCTACACTGCTAATCCAACCTCCTCTCCGACCTCACCGCCTCCCTGTCTCTTTAGCTCACGCGATGTACTCGAGCCAGTCCCTCTTTTCCTCCGCCCGTCGCAAGTATTCCGTGTCGATCAGCCCTTCCACGACCCGCCTGACGAAAGAGACATCGGGCGTGAAGTGCGCATGCTGGCACTGGCGGACGACCTCGACAACCAGTTCTCGGTAGGCCATGCACTTCTTTAGCTTCATGACTCGTACGAGGATGGCTTGGCATTTCAACGTCCTATCCTTGATCACGTCTTCGCTAATGCCCCTTTCCTTGTCCTCCTCCATCTTCTTGGGCAGGATGGTGAGACGCTTGTATTTGCTCCGGAAATCGGGGATCAGGCTCACGTAGACCGTGTCGGAGAACGAGGCAGAGGTGGAGGAGGAAGAGGAGGAAGAGGAGGAGGAAGAGGAAGGTGGGACCGCCCTTTGCTCGCTGCTTTCATCTCGGGGCACTAAGAACGCCGAGGATGCT